GTGCCAGGAGTCCTGAGAGCCACCCAGGGCCACCCCTGCCTGGGGCAGCGACACCTCCCACTGCCCCAGCTTGTGCATCCCTGGGCACTCCCACACTGCTCTGTTCCTGAGGGTGGGACAGCCTGAGAGCATTCAGAGCTGGGGCTGCTCAGGCTGAGAAGGACAAGGCTGGATTCTGCAAGCAGCTGCTTTTAGGGGATGCTGCTTTGGGCTTTCTGTTCATACCCTCCCTCACCATCGCTGCCTTCCCTCTTTCCCAGCCCCTGACAGCTGTGTGCTCCAGCAGGAGGAACCTGCACTTCCCTCCACACCTCCAAGCCCCCCAAATTAACTGCTCTGTCCTTAAAATGAGGGGACAGAGCACAACTTGGGGCTCTAAAAGTACACAAACTTCCCCCCCAGCTCTGAGCAGCAGAAGTCTCTGACAGCCTCAAGATGCTCTGGAAGGTACCAACAATAATTTTTTTTTCACTCACCAACCCACATTCATTGAAGGCCAAGTTCTCATCAGTCAGTTTGAGACCTCCAGGTCCCAGGAGCTCAAAGGGCAGCCAGTCCTCTCTGAGTGCTTCTCTCACAAAGTTGTAGAGCGCAGACACTGATTCTCGGGCATAAAAAGTCCCTGCCATGAGAAAACAAGGTGAGAGAGTCTGGCATTTACCAAAATCTAACCTTTTGTGGTCGGTTCCGTGGGGCTTCACCCACTGATGCTGACTTGATCAACGACTTCCCTGCCACACAGCCAGCCTGATTTAACTGAAACCTATAAAAGCAGAATCCCCAAAGAAAAATAGTCAATTGTTGGGAGCCCCTGCCAGCCTGTAACAAAGAGCTGGGGAAGCCTGAAATGATTTCCAGAGTTCTGTAGGAAAATGTGAAGAGGATTTATGCTGTTGTACAGTCTGACATCACACAGGCAGCCTCACGCTGGCTGCTGCCACACTCTGATCTAATGAGTCCAGCTTGGGAAGAGCAGACTTTAATTAATGATGCCTTGAGATTCTTCCCTCTCTGTCCAATCCTGGCTTAAAATCCCAACCCTNGCTTCTCAGTGTCCAAACCCTGACATTCCTCACTTGATGTTTCAGACCCTTGCTGGCTCCTGTGGCAAGTTTGCTCCTTTTGAAATTAAGGAGAACATGGTCTTAGCCCCCCTCAGCCGTGTGGCCCTGGAACCAGAGGACCTGGAGCAGCTGGATAAGCTCCTGCACGCCCAGAATGCTGAAGATTCTTTCTTGAAGGATCTAAAAAGTCGTAAACCACGAAAAACTGGGCCCACTTTGGTCAGTGACAGCAGCGACAGCGTCAACAGGTCAGTCTGCACTTGAGGGCTTGCTTTGCTTCTGGTTTATGGAATGAAGTGCAGAGAGGGTTGGAGGATTGGAGAGGAGGGAAGGCTGGAGCTGCTCCCTGGGGCTCAGCCTCCTTCCCCTGTGTGCCCAGTGACGTGGTGGTGGTGGACAGCTGCCAGGCAGATGGTGTTCCTGAGAGGGAGAAGTTTGGCAGGATGAAGCTGCTGCAGTTCAGTGAGAATCACCGCCCTGCCTACTGGGGCACCTGGAACAAGAGAACCTCCCTGATCCGTGCCAGGAACCCATGGTCCAAGGACACTGTAAGCACCTCAGCCTGCTGCATCCTTTGTGCTCTAGAAGTGAATGTGCTTGGCCAAGCCCTCTGCTTCCCTGGCATTTCTGAGCCATTTTGTTCCCTTTGAAAGCCCAGCCTGGCTTTGGTGCTGATGGACAGAAATGTTGGCATTTCTTGCAGAAACTGCTGGACTATGAAGTAGACAGTGATGAAGAGTGGGAGGAAGAGGAGCCAGGGGAAAGTCTCTCCCATAGTGAAGAGGTGAGGATCCTGCATGCTGAATAAAATCAGGCACCACTTGCTCTGGGTGTGGCTCTAACTCTAACCCATTTGTTTGTAGGATGACGAAGAGGAGGGAGAGGATGAAGATGAGGACGATGGGTTTTTTGTACCCCATGGGTACCTATCTGAAGATGAAGGTGTGACAGAGGTGAGGCAGCTGGCTGTCCCTGAGTTCCCATGTGTTTGCAGTGAACTGTGCCATGTCAATGCTGGCAGGGGAGGGCAGCACGTGCTCTGTGCCTGCGGGAACACGAGGCAAAGCTGCCTTTAAAAAGCTCTTTTTTTACCCTTTGTCCCCTGTGGCTGCAGGAGGGTGACCCAGAGAACCAGAAGGTTCGTCAGAAGCTGAAAGCAAAGGAGTGGGATGAGCTGATAGCCAAGGGGAAGAGGTTCCATGTCCTGCAGCCTGTGAAGATTGGCTGTGTCTGGGACAGGGCAGCAAAGGACAACGGCACCAACCCCGACCTGAAGGTGCTCCAGCAGTTCACAGCCTGTGTCCTGGATCCACCTGTGCCAGAGGAGGAGCAGCAGACACAGAAATGTAGCAAAAAAAGAGCAAAAGATCAGCAAAGTAAGACCTGAAGGGCTGAGCAGTGCTTCCACAGGGCTGTGCTGTGCTTTGGAGGGAGTGGGGGATTAGTGAGTGCTGCATTCAGAGTGACCTGTTTGGGACAGGGCTGCAATCCAAGGAATCTCTGAGAGCTCTTGGAAAGGACTTTTCTGGCACTGCCTCTCCACAAAGTCTTGCTCTGGGCAATCTAGGAACTGAAGCCAACCAGACTTGAGCAAGCTCAGATTTAGGATGGGCCTGAGCCTGTTTATTGTTTGGGGGAAAACGATTTGATTTCTGTGTTTGGTTCCAGTCCTGAGCTTTTCCTGCACCTGATTAACACAAGGCTGTGAATAACTCACAGAAAGGCCAAGCAGGGGCTGGAGATTTCACTCCAGGCTGTTTCTACATCAGATCTAGCTGCTGTTACAGCCATGGAACCCCAGAGTGGGGTGGGCTGGGGGACACCTCAAAGACCATCCAGTTTCTGCCATGGCCAGGGACACTTTGCACTTGCTCCAAGCCCAACCAACCTCACCTTGGAGCCTTCCAGGCATGGGGCAGCCCCAGCTTCTGTGGGCAATCCATCTCTGAAACCA